AAATCGTCTACCATGATGAAGTCATCCTTCATCTCACAGATGCAAGGATGGTTCAACATACAAAAATCTATTCAGGGTCCTGCCCACTTTAAGTTCCTACCATGACATCCTTTAATAGTGAACAACAATATGGCAGTATAAGCCAAATTATCTCTTTTCTCCCAATCTTGCATTTTGGTCATCATGTTTCATCACAACAGAAACCCTAATTAAGACACCACATTCAGTTGATATGTATGAGAGACCTGCTCTTCTCTAAAGTTAAACAAAGAAGAGAGATTTGGGGGAAGGTTGGGACAGAGAGCAATGGTGGGAGGAAACACTGCAGTCAAGATGAAAGAAGAATAAATAAAAGACAAATGAAAGAGAGGAATGAGGGAAACTGAGGTAAGATTGGGTCAAGGAAAGATGAAAACTTAGCAGGGCAAATGACAAATCTTGTGGCTCTATCTCAGGTATATGGGCTTTATTTCCAAAGGGCTTAGAAAGTTCTATCCATGCTGAAGCATTAATCTAATTGACATTTAACAATAAGAAATCAGGAGTCAGAGAGCAGGGTAAGAAACTGAAAGATCAGAGAAGCAGTTAACCAGCAAATTGTGACTACCACCTCTTCAGTTTCTCCATGTTAGTAAAGTGCTAATATTCTCTTAGGCCTGCTTAGGAATCCTAACTCCTATCTGTCCAGAGTCCTCCAAACCTCTATGGTAAATTTTGGTCAGGTAGTGATTAGCTCTGCTGTAATGCTAAGCAAGCTTTATTATCAGAATATAATCAAAATATCACACATTTCCCTATTTGTCTAATTAAAAAGTGAAGGTTTAACTATCACAGTAAAGCTATATACACTAAATACAATAACTATATATAATATATACAGGGAAGAATTATACTAACAATGTCCAATCCATTTGCATTTGGTAAATTTAGAGAAAATGTTTGATCATCTATCCTATCTTAGTAAGCCCAAGGTGTTGTACATAAATTACTTTTTATCCTAACTGGTATTACCAACCTTAAATAATCTTTCTATGTCTTTTAGCCTTGTATACTTTATACATTTTTTAGTTCATTTTTTTTAATTTGTTAACATGCATAATTACAATTATAGAGTCTGTAGCTCCACCAGAGAACTCAGAAGGATATAATATTACCTGAGTAAACAGGAAGTATAAAGCAAATAACATTTAAAATAAAAAAAAACACCATCTGTCTATTTAAAATGAATTTTTGCCAGGCTGTACTGGTCAATGCCATTAATTCCAGCACTTTCATAGCAGAAGTAGATATATCTCACTAAGTTAGAGACCAGCCTATCCTGCAAAATGAGTTCCAGAAAAGCCAGAGCAACACAGAGGAATCTGTCTTAAAAAAAAAAAAAGGAAAAAAATGTCTTTTTGTTTCACCTTGAAAACACAACTAACATGATTATAAAAAGTGAGTGTTAGGCCAATTTATTCCTTTGGACAGGGATATTTTATTTGGATGATGTGTTATTTTTTATATATCCCAGCTGTCTAGTGGTTTTTAGATTCCTTAGTTTTATGTTTTCATACTTTTGTAAAGACAAAACAAAACTCTGCCTTCACCCTAACTTTATGAAGATTTATTGTTGGAAATTATATTTAATCAAAAGGAAAACATCTGTTAATCTTACATATTAGTTAAGATTGAATGGTAATGCCTCTGATGAACTATTGTCTCTTTTACTCAAGAGATATTTTGTTTGAAGCTAATCTTTAAGGATTGAAGTGGTCTCTATAACTTTATTCCCCAATTTAATACACATCTTGGTGTTTATTCTGAATGCAATGTATCTTTAAAGCATACAGGTTGATTTAATTTAGCAGGGCTTTTTTATTATCTAATGTTTCCCCACAGCTGTTATTTCCTTTTTCCTAGCATTTAAAATTTTTTTTTGTTTTTTAAACTTTTAATGATGTAAACAAAAATATACCTAAAAGCGAAACTTCAGGAAAAACCATTTGTTCTTCCCTGTCTTGTATCGTTCCTCAAATTTGACCTTGGCTTCCCGCCTTGCCTTGCGTTTTAGGGCTGGGTCCCTAAAGACATCCTTGTTGACAACAGTTTTGTCCAGGGGGATGTCCACAGAGTACGTTGTGGGCATCAGGTGGTTGTAGTTATAAACCTTCACAAAGGACTTGATCTTGGATCTCTTAGCGACTTTCTTCTTGCCCATGGCAGCCGTCACTTTTCGGGGATAGCGGTCAATTCCAGCCACCAGGGCATGGCTGTAAGGGCGGTCTGAGGTGCCATCATCAATGTTCTTCACGATGAGGGCTTTGCGTCCCGAGTAGCGTCCAGCCAGGACGAGCACCACTTTCCCGGGTTTCATGAACTTGCCCATTTCGACAGCAATCAGCCGGTTCCCAGCAGACGCATTTAAACATTTTAAAGTTAATAATCTATTCTGTAACTATTTCTGTGGTCTTAATTCCTCCTTTCTGTTAACTGAGCATATATTTTAAGATGCCTGATGAAGTGTTAATCGAATTAATCTTTTTCAATCCCAAAACAACCTAAAATGATTTAAAATCTGCTTGCTGCTTCATGGCATAGAGCAGAATATGTGGATTGTGCCCTATCTACCTGTCTACCACATTGCACACCTGAGAAATCTCTGCACATCAGAAACTCCTTTTGTCCCCTGGAACTAAGCTTCACTGGATCACACCATTGCAGCTAGTGGTAACACCATGTTAAAAGCACTCTACTCTACTATTGCTCTACCGGGTCCTAAACAATTTGTAATCTTTATAACACAAACCTGAAATTGGAAAGCAATATTCAGAACTTCTAGAAACTAAACCTTCAGTTTTCTAATCTCTCTTCCCACTGTACAACAAAAGCAGTGCCCATGTGTGTACTCTGGACAGAGATACAACCAGCACCATTTCCTTCCATTCCAGGGCTGCAATATTTCTATATACAAGGAGGCTCAGAGAACAAGGGCCACTGCCTACATGAACCACATGGACCAACATAACTGCAGTCTAGCTCATGGTACTTCCAAGTCTCAGCAGAAATGACATTTCAACACACCTGCTCTGAACCCCCCCCCCCCCGCCCCATTACGGGATCACTTATGGTTTTCCTTACCACTCCCTACAGCAGAGACAGAAGGGAAACATGGAAAAAAACCTCACAAACTGTCTGCCACTAGTACTCTTGATTTCTAACCCTTCCCAGAATCCCTCACTAGCTAGGGCCACCCAGCTGGGCTTCTCAATATTAGCAGCTCCTCTACAGGAGGATCAGAAAGCAAATGACTCAGACAGCACAATCCTTCCAGTGCTGCCTTCCCAGCCCAGCAGACAGGGCCCCAGTTTAGACAATTTGTATTTAGTACACATTTTCCCACTCTACTAGAGCACATCCTATTCCTCATCCAAAGCACAGGGTCCTCTGTGTGCACATTCCAGTACATACACACTTTCCAGTGCAGTCATCCCATTGCCTCAGAGATGGGAAATCCTGCAGACAAACGGGTCACATTCATAAAGTAACTACTGTTACTGTGTAACTGTGGTTACTTTGTAACTGTTGTCAAAGAAGAACAGACCAGGAATTAGAAAACAATCCAGGGATCTTAGGGCTTGGAGGCAGCAAGGAGAATGTAAATATGATGTAGTTGTCATCTCAAAAACTATTTTGAAAACGTGAGACAGACTTTATGGTCATGTACTCTAGAGACTAGGGATTTGTATTAGAGCACATTAAAAATTTCTCATGTATTTTCTAATGATCAATGTCTTTGTAGAGAAAGGTTTAAAGATAAGGTCACTCCCTTTCCCAGTTTCCTTTTTGTGCTTGTCTGTGGACTGCAAACAATGGTCAATCAGGACATTCATAGAGCATCTACAATTGCCTGCCTGAATCCACATAGCTAATCTCAACCACTTATGAAGGGGAAAAGTTCTCACCCTCAGTCCAGCCTCTCCTTTTCTGCACTGTGTCTCCACCAGCTTCAATAAACTCTTCCTCCTATTGTAGTCTGAGGACAGAAGGAATGCTCCACATGCAAATCCTTTCCCTGCAACTGCAATGCATAGTCAACTACATGACTCACATGCATAATTTTAAAACGGTGAGATTGTACAGCCATTTTTTGTAGGAATTTTTAAAGTGTAATATACAGGACAGCAAGGTCATTGCCCTGGACAGAACAGACCAAGGCCACCTGAGTGAACATAAGAGCACTTGTCTCAGAAGCTATTTTTCTAACAGGATGGAAATGAAAGAATTAATATAACTTTCATTGAGAAATCACTGCACACAATTACGGTACCAAACTGTAATGCCTCCTTGAAAGGCTTGATAGAGATACGGGGATGTGCTTGGTGTCTGGTTTTAAATCAGCAGTGGATTCTTTGTAATGGTTTGGAGCCAAATATCTGGACAAGCCAGTTGAACAATGTGTACCCTAGCATCCTAAACTCTAACAGCCCTAATTAAAATACATTTAACTTTTGGGTGATTTAGAGGCAGTCCTCCCTCAGCTAAACTCTACTTTGGGAGACTGAACTATTTCCAAGGCATTGGCGAATCCTTTGTATCAGCAATTCTCCTCTTCTACGTTGCATTTTAGAAGTGCTGCACTACCCAACAGGTGAGATGCCTTGATACCGTCCACATAGTTAAACTTAAATGGAGATTTTATATAAAGGTTAAATGCAAAGTGCTCAATATGTAGAAGATGCTGAAGAAACGAGGCTTCCCTGACTTTGGCATATTGAAGTTGACAAGATGTTTGTACACACAGCACCCTGCTCCCAATTCTCTAAGCGGATTAAACCCAAAGCGCAAAGTTATTCAGAGGTCTGTCCCTAAGTCTAGGAATTAACAGGACAGCATGGGACTTCACAATGCAGAGAATCAGGCGGCAGGTTCCCACGCGGATCTCGGGAGGACGCACCATGCTGTCTCCCGCACCTCACCCTCTGCTCCTCCCCATCTGGAGACAGCATTTCCCCACTCACCATGTTGTGGTTTTTCGGTTCGCCAAACGTCTCAGTTTATCAACTCCCTGCAGCAGCAACTTCACCAAAACACAGAAAACAAACAGCGCCAGCTCCTCTGCAAAATCGAGACTGAATGCAGAAGCCCGGAAGAGCCCTGCACAACGTCTGACTGGCAGGTCTCCTGGAGGGCCTGATTGGCTAGCGAGGCCTGAGTGACAAGAACACCTCCCACAGGACTGAAGTGCGCTTAAAGAGACAGCACAGAGATTTCGGGCCGCTCCAACCACAGATCTTTTCTTGATCGGCCGATATATGCATTTCAATAGCACTTGCACCTGGCTATAAAAGCAGACACCCTCATAACCTTGCACTCCACAGGAACTTTCCCTTTTACCTCCAGAATGCGACCTGGCCAGTTAGCTTGTACAGTGCACTGTGCTGTGCTAGGTGAGTGCAGGGATTTCCTGTCCCACAGGGGGAAGAATGCCCAGAATATTAACAGCTAAAGAGTTTTAAGGTCACAAAAGGAGATGTTTGTTTTGTGGCTTCATGCTGAGGTCAGATGAACAGAAGGTACTTTTTACATGGTTTTCACAGGGATTCACACAACAGAAAAGAGAAAAGCAGGAGCCAGATCTCAAACAAGATGACAGGTCTTTCCCCATCAGAAGGCTGGATGATGGCTCCATTGCTTTATGGGTTTTATTACTGAAATTTGAAGCAAACTCCAGGAAAATGAATAATAATAAAAAAGAGTAGTGTTCGTGGAAATGTGAATATGTAGAGAATAATGGAGCTAGAAGGAACTGCAGTATTCAAGATTCTCTACATGAACAGGATTGGTAGAATGAATCTCAACATGTATGTAAAAAGTGGGCATATTAAAAAGTTTCACAAGCTGTGTTTCAGGTTGTCTAAAAATAGCTACTTATAAATGACAATTAAAGAATCCTGTAGATTGCTTCTCAGCCTTTTCCCAAAGATCAAGTGAAGAATCCAGTAGTTGTTCAGCCCATGAGGCTTGATGTCTCAACTGGTTTTAAGTATTCACCAAAATTTCAAAGAAGTAGTCTCTAGTACTAGTAAAGGAATGAGCTTGGTAGCCAGAGCAAGTTGACAAAAAAGAGCCTTTTCTACTTCAATATTCTTTCTATGTAACTGCTCCTACCAGAAGGTGAGAAGGTTAAAGCTAGATCATAGTCTTGTTTGATTCAGATTTTCTTGTTTTGGTGATTTCAAGACAGGATTTTTCTGTTTAGGTTTGGAACTCATTCGGTAGGCCAGACTGGTCTCAAACTCAGAAAAATACCAGTGACTCTTGTTGTGCCCAGACTATGACCACCAGAGAGAGACCACCAGATAGGTCCAGACTGTAATTAGCAAGGTTTGATCAGCATAATACAAACATGTTTGGTACTCATCTCCACCCCTCTTACAGAAAGGTAGAGAGGAGTTGTATCTCCTCTGCGGGGTAAGCTTTTAAAGGCTTAACTACAAAGAGAATCTTTGATGTTGCCTTGGCATGGGAACAAGGACATTTGCTCCCTCCCATTCTGTTAAGACAGCTTTCTTCTTGTTCTTAGAGCAAGGCCACTGTCCTTGAGTTAGGCCATCTTTAACAGCCTGTAGCAGGTGGCTGGCTGGGCTGACCTAGGTGACCTTCTGCTTGGAATCTTGCAGGTGGGAGAGGTGAAGGCCACTATCTTCCTGAGAAAACATTCTGCTAGGAAATTTCTTCTCTCCCCTTTGATAATAAGGGGTGAGGGTACCACACCTCTTGCTCCTGAATCACAGTGTTAAAGGTGTGCATGGCAACCAAGCAGCTAAAGGTGGGTCCTATTATCTCAAACTATCCAGATTAGTGGAGGATTTTCACATTCCAAAACCTTTAAGTAAAATCTCTCTCAGGTATAATTAATTCTTTGTGTATTAATTAATTCCAGAGGTAGTCAGTTTGACTACCAAAAATAGCCATTTCTACAGTCAAGACAAAAGAAATGAGAAAAAATTATTCTTGCAGGAGGCACAAAGTGCACGGGAGTTATTTTTTTCCTCAACAAAGAAAGAATGGGGATTTTGCTTAGGATGTTTGAACATGCTTATGTAATGTTCTCCCTTTTCTTAAGCATGCTAAATTAACAAATCCACTAGTGAACATGATTACAATGTAAAAACAGATATTTAGGGACATTCTTACCACGAAGTCTTGTAGGAACATATCTAAATTAGACAAATGATGGAAAGAAATGTCTCTGGCATGTTCATATTTTACCATAAGGTCTTACTTGAAAATCAAGTAGATGACACTGTGAAAAGTTGATTGTCAATCTTGATGATCAATCTAAAAGATAACTGTACCAACATCATATATCTCACAGACACAAAAGATAGAGAACACAAAACCAGAAAACTTCAAGGAAAAGTCACCTAAAACCCCTCTTTATGGTGCTCCTGGATGAACGGTTATGATGATCTCTGTTACTCGCAGAGCAAAGCTGGTTTTGCTCTGAGCAGGGTGGCAAGACAGAAGGCCACAGCTGCTTCCATGCAAGGTAAGAAGGAGTCCATTTTAACTAGACCTGACTTGCTGTCTGTCTCAGGGTCAGGACATCACTGTAGAGAATTTCATTCTTTCTTTTTTCTAATCTTAAAAAACATTTAGTTATATAGTGTTTTGCTTGCATGTGCCTATGCACAGTACCTACAGAGGGCAGAAGAAGGGATGAGATACCTGGGACTTGAATCAGAACAAATGGTGAGCTAGCATGCAGGGTCCAGGAATGGAATCAGGGTCCTCGTGAAAACAGCCAGTGATGAGCCATATATCTAGCCCCTCTTTTTAATTTATAATTAATCTTTAAAAATTTTTAATCAAAAGACAAAACATCACTTTTTTATCTCTTTATTCCATCCCTGGCACAATTCCCTTCCAACTTCATCCTTGTTAAGTGTGGATAAATATGTATGCTGAAATACATAAATATGTTATACCCAAATCTGCAAAGTCTATGAACACCTGATCTTCGATAAAGGAGCTAAAAGTATACAATGGAAAAAAGAGAGCATCTTCAACAAATGGTGCTGGCAAAACTGGATGTCAATCTGTAGAAGAATAAAAATAGATCCATATCTATCACCATGCACAAAACTCAAGTCCAAATGGATTAAAGACCTCAATATCAGTCCGAACACACTGAACCTGATAGAAGAGAAAGTGGGAAGTACTCTACAGCACATGGGCACAGGAGACCACTTCCTATGTATAACCTCAGCAGCACAGACACTAAGGGCATCATTGAATAAATGGGACTTCCTGAGGCTGAGAAGCTTCTGTAAAGCAAAGGACACTGTCACTAAGACAAAAAGACAACCCACTGACTGGGAGAAGATCTTCACCAACCCTGCAACTGACAAAGGTTTGATCTCCAAAATATATAAAGAACTCAAGAAACTAGACCGTAAAAGGCTAATCAACCCAATTATAAAATGGGGCACTGATCTGAACAGAGAATTCTCAACAGAAGAACTTCAAATGGCCAAAAGACACTTAAGGTCATGCTCAACTTCCTTAGCGATCAGGGAAATGCAAATCAAGACAACTTTAAGATACCACCTTACACCTGTCAGAATGGCTAAAATCAAAAACACCAATGATAGCCTTTGCTGGGGAGGTTGTGGAGAAAGGGGTACACTCACCCATTGCTGGTGGGAATGCAAACTTGTGCAACCACTCTGGAAAGCAGTGTTTCGGTTTCTCAGGAAATTCGGGATCAACCTACCCCTGGATCCAGCAATACCACTCTTGGGAATATACCCAAGAGAGGCCCTATCATACAACAAAAGTATATGCTCAACTATGTTCATGGCAGCATTGTTTGTAATAGCCAGAACCTGGAAACAACCTAGATGCCCTTCAACGGAAGAATGGATGAAGAAAGTATGGAATATATACATATTAGAGTATTACTCAGCAGTAAAAAACAAGGACTTCTTGAATTTTGCATACAAATGGATGGAAATAGAAAACACTATCCTGAGTGAGGTAAGCCAGACCCAAAAAGAGGAACATGGGATGTACTCACTCATATTTGGTTTCTAGCCATAAATAAAGGATATTGAGCCTATAATTCATGTTCCTAGAGAAGCTAAATAAGGTGAATCCAAAGACAAACACATAGGCATCCTCATGAATATTAACCTTCATCAGGCGATGAAAGGAGACAGAGACAGAGACCCACACGGGAGCACCGGACAGAAATCTCAAGGTCCAAATCAGGAGCAGAAGGAGACGGAGCACGAGCAAGGAACTCAGGACCACGAGGGGTGCACCCACACACTGAGACAATGGGGATGTTCTATTGGGATCTCACCAAGGCCAGCTGGCCTAGGTCTGAAAAAGCATGGGATAAATCCGGACTAGCTGAACATAGCGGACAATGAGGAATACTGAGAATTCAAGAACAATTGCAGTGGGTTTTTGATCCTACTGCACGTACTGGCTTTGTGGGAGCCTAGGCAGTTTGAATGCTCACCCTACGAGACCTGGATAGAGGTGGGCAGTCCTTGGGCTTCCCACAGGTCAGGGAACCCTGATTGCTCTTCGAGCAGATGAGGGAGGGGGACTTGATCGGGGGACGGGGAGGCAAATGGGAAGCGGTTGTGGGGACGAGGCAGAAATCCTTAATAAATAAATAAATTTAAAAAAAAACAAAATATAAGAAATACAAAAAAAAAGTCAACAAGGAGATCAAGTACTATATATAAAAGCAAAGAGCCTTTATTTTATGCAAGTTTGCAAACTCGGTCTCTCTGCATGTCCTGTGTATTGGAATAACTGGAGAGCCCTGAGCTGAGTTAGAGTTTGGTTTTTATAGTAGTAAAGGTGGGGGTGAGTGGTTTCTAAGGTTCAGGACCCCTGACTGGCTGACATTTGCCTAGGGGTGTCCTGGTGAGTGTGTGCTGGCAGATGATCCTATCTAAAATGGTTGGAATATTAGGCATTTCCTTTTGATGGTCTATTTTTGGTGGTGCTTGGGTAATCTCAG